CAACGTGGGGGAGCGAGTGTCTCTCTGCATGGGTTTCACAGTGTGGCTTCTTGCACCCCTGACTCCTGGATTCACCCATTTCTCTCCAGCACAAACCCTGGACTGGCCCTCTGAAACTCCGAGTAACATTCTATTAATCATGTCATTTCCCCAGGCAGTCTTCTCTTCTGGGAAAAGAATATGCTCATCAACTTACACACATAGTCTGGTTCTCATTAAAATCTGAAAGCAAAGGGTGGTAGAAAGAGCATTGTGTGGGAGTTGGGATTTCTGGGTTCTCCTCCTACCTCTGGCACTAACTAGTGTGTGACCTTGAGAAAGTCATTTCTCTCGGCTAAGCCTTACAGACCCCTCTGTAACGTAAGAGGTTCCTTCTAGTGCTAACATTCTAGTGTCTACATTAAATAGTCTTGCAATCCCCAATGACACTTGACCATCATGAATATGCACAGATGAGGAGCTGACCTGGGGTCCAAGGTGATTATTATACTCAGGAGTAGGACCCTGAAGCACCTGGCTTCAGCAGCCAGTTACCCCAGGCTGGATCTTGCTCTATCTGTACCCTTTATAGAAAAGGATCTAGCAGGTTAATGGAGCCCAGTGGTAACTGGGACCAGGCTCAGAATGGACAGACCAGAGGCCTGATATCCCAGGATCTATGCCATTCCGTTTTTACTCCCAAAAAGGACACTAGGTTTTTCTGTAGTCTCATGCTAAATAGAGGCCTGAACTAGAATCAACTGGTGTCTAGGACAGGGTCAGGGTGGGGTAGGGGCAGGGTTCAAGACAGACCATCATACACCTTGTTCAGTTCTTCTCTCTGAGTTTCTGCAGACAGAAGTACCACTCTCAGCAGCCCTGGGGCGGTTCCACAACAGTTTCACCCCTCCCGCCTCCTGGCATGGCCTAAAAGCAGGTTTGGCTATGCTGGGAACAAGTGATGTTTGCACTCAGCGACAATATCACTCAGCAGCCATGTGTCAGTGACCAGCTTTCCAAAAACCTGGAAAGAAATCTGCTCGCCAAACAAATGTGAAATATTTGCAAGTTTTCAAAAAGAAGCTGGGTCTGTCTTCCGTAGGAGAGAAAAGGGAGCTGTAAATGTTGTAATTAGAAACAGACATTTCTTCCATTCTTTAAAGCAACGAAGATGTTATAAGGCTTGCAGATCAGACCTCTCTGTGAGAAGGACCATTTGGGGATACGTGAATTTGGCAAACCAATTTCAGGGAAGCAGGCTCTGCCTCAGCAGGGAAGCTGCAGACCTGTAGCAGCCAGGATGTCTTTTCTGGAGTGTGGTCGTGTCTGGTACACAGAGCTGCCTTCAGGATTGGCCCAGGGTGTGTGTGTTGGGGGTCGGGGGGGGGAAGGGTGGATGTGGTGGAGTGGAGAAAACATCCTTGAGGTGGATGCTTCGGGTTGTCATGGAATTCTCAAGAAGAAGATGCCACAGTCTTCAGTGGTCCCAATGTTGGTGTGAGGAGGCTGTGTCCCGGGTCTGATCTCAGTTGTCCCCACCCCCCAGTAGTGCAGTTAGACCTTGGCTTCCAACCAGGCTCCCTCAATGGAGAGGATGAAGAGTGAATGTTGACACCTCAACAGCCCCGGGCTACTAGAAATGTGCCAGATAAGAAACTGGTTGCTAAAAGGTTTTTTGGCCAGATTTGTTTATGTTATTGTTTTATGACCTCCAAAGATCTGGCTAATCTAAGTGGCATTGGAACATGACTATTTTTCACTATATAGATATAGCTTCCTGTTGGCTTTATTTGACTTGAAGTATGACTATGTTAAGTTTTATACAAATATTAAATTAATAGTCATTGTGCAAGCAAAACTCATACTCATTAATTTTGATCGTGTTTAAAACAGTGATTCGCATCCATGGCTGCACATTGCTAAAACCAGGGAAGCTTTATAAAAATTCCCATGCCTCAGGCCCACCTCCAGAAAATCTATTTTAATTGATTTGGAGTGGGGCCTGGGCATTGATTTTTTTTTTTAAAGGTCCCCAGATGATTCTAATTGCAGCCAGGATTGAGAACCATTGTTCCGAATGATGCCTGAGAAATGTGCTAATTTAGTGGGGGGAAAACAATCAAATGAGATCTTCTTTCAAACTGGCTGGCTTGTTTTGTCAGTGTTCAGCCCAGTATCTGGATAGGAACAAAGCCAAGATTACAGTGCAGTTATGTAAGGTTTGGAGGGTAAGATTCTTCTCCTAAAACTGACTTATTACTGTATGTGTGTTTCATCTACAGCAATAAATTGGAAATATTGGGAGGGAACCTCATGCTCTGTGAATATAGAGTCCCTTAATATTCAATAATAATCACTCCATGATCTGAATGGACAGGGGACAATAATAAAGAACTCTCATATTTAAAACAATCGGCACTGAAAATGTTTCTGGTAATACCAGTCCATAATGAGCCAAATGGCACGGATTTATATTGCCTTGAATTTCAAGACTTCACCAGTGATTTATGATGGCTAGATGCTCAAATCACCATCTCTTGCCCCTCAGGTGAACTTTTGGTTCAACGTATCTGAAGGCGGAGTGAGGAAGACAATTCAGGTAGCAGAGAATTGAACAAAGGCCAATCACTGAATAGGCGAATTTGAGCTCGTTATCCGGCTGGGACTGATCACCTCTCAGCGGGATGATTCAGGAGTTGCAAATGGCTGGAAGCTTTGTTTTCCCTTCTCTGGGAAAGACAGGTCCATTAGCTCTCCTGCTGCTTTAGAGCTTAATTTGTTTTCGTTTTTGTTTTTTTTTCTGACACTATGGAGGGGACAATACATTCCAAAAATTAGAGGACAGCTAAGGAAAATTCTCCCTCTTTATTGGATATCATTAAGCACATGCTGCCTCAGGGGGATGGGGAAGGCCATTAACAGACAGGAGCCAAGAGAGGGATTAGCTCACAAAAGAGAAGGCTGTTGAGAGCAGCTCAGCTAGATACAGGAAAAGCTGCCAGGTAGAGACCCAAGCTTGGGCATTAAAACTCAGCTCTCATCGTGTTTTTAAAGAGTTATCATCTTTTGTATATAATAAAGGTAGAGTTAGGAACTGCCCTTAGGAAGGAGATGCATTAAATTCACTGAGGACAAAAACCCCCAAAGCTACAGCACCCGGGGCCATTCCCGGGGGGGCGGGGCTGATTCCTAGACAGTGTGTCTGGCTGCCCCCCACCAACGTCAGGGATCCTTGGTTTAAGAGTACAGGCTGAAGCACTCAGGGGGTTACCTTATCCCACATTTGCAGAGGCAAGGAGCTGACATTTATAGCTTGACTAGTGCTCCTTTTACAAGTAAATGACTACCCGGAGAGAGGACTAACTAAGTCACGTGCTTGGCATTTTCTAGCTGATTTTCTATTCAAAGAGACCCAGATTAACTTTCACTCCCATCAAGCTTTCCCCCAAACCTCCTGGTGGAAAGGGAATCCCCAGGCCCATCGTGGTCCCTGAATGATGCTCAGTCATGCGCCTGGCTTAGCCTGCTGTCCCTTCCCCAGGTCTGTGTCTTCAGTGGGATGAGAAAGACTTTGGCGGAGGCTTTTAGGCTGCGAATAAGCCAAGCGCATATAGCTGGCAGTGTAAACAACAGCAAAAAGACAAGGTGGAGAACGTGGCTGCATAATTGCGGACTGAGCAGAACTTTGAGACTGAATCCTGGGGAGGTCCTGTTTCCATGGCCCTTGCCTGGTGGTTGTGGATTAAATATAAATATCTACCCATACTGGAGGCTGAATTCAACTCCTTTACCAAATAAGCAAAGTATCGGTATCTGTTATATACAGGTAGATCTCTATTTGCCAACCTATCTCCTTCTACAATCCCTGACGGGCCTGAGACAAGGCAAACCACCTCTCCTCCGTGCTCCCGAAGCAGTGCCTTCCATGGGTGTTACGGAGCTCGTTGCCTTGGACTGTGGTTGGCAGGGAAAGCGGATCTCCCAGGCTCCGATGGACCAGTGTCTTACTTATCTAGCATCCTCAGCAGTGGAAGGCTCTCAGTGAATGTCTACTGAATGAAACTGTGTGTCCCTGTATTCCATCTATCATCGCTAATAAACGTTGAAAGCCAAAGGACAAAGATGGAGTAATCAGGAAACAGAGAAAGAGGTATCCGGTAATAATAAAGTAGAAGTATAGGGTTGAAACATATTATTAAACCATTCACAGGTTAAATTCTCTCTCTCTGCCTATGTCACCTCACTCTGCACATCTGCAAAGGAGGAAGTGCAGTGGACAGTTCTATGGCAGGGGACCTGGATCAAGAGTCAGGGGAGCTGTCTTTTGCCTAACTGACTATGTGACCTGTGGCAAGTCCCCTCTTATGGGGACTAGATTACACTAGATGATCTCCCAAGGTCCTTACACTTCTGTCATTTTTGTAATTTTATGCTTTTTATGCACCATTATCCCAAGGTATTTCATATGGCTGAAGTCTGTCCAGGCGGTTCTCAGTGAATCCTGCCTACTCAGGTCATTGGCTGTGGGGCAGTTCTTTTCCACCCAACAGCGATCCTAATGATAAATGCAGGCTCTCTCCAATTCTGGCCCCAGCTCTCTCAGGAATCAGACTTGAAAGTCATTTTCAAATTCACCTTTGGGCTGCCTTTTAAATGCTTCCTCCAGAGGCAAAAATCACAAAATGCTTTCACTAGAATGGATTTTAGAGATCATCTCGTGATTCTAATTTAATCCCCTGTCCGTGGAGAAACACAACATCCCAGGTAGGGAGATGCCTTGCTCAAAGTCACATAGAGAGGTCAAGGGGAAGCATCCTGATGCCCATTTCAGGTTCTTTCCATTTCCACACCACCTCCAGCCACAGGGCTGATTCTCTGCTACCTTCTCACGCAGCTGTTTCCAAACCAATCAACCTGCCAACCAGGTAACCAACCTGTGTCTGCTTCCTACGAACCTAGGACTGTGAACTCTGAGGCAAGTTATGTTTTTATTGTCCCAAAGTGCAAGAGTAAACACTCACCTTTTGGCATAGAGCAGGGCTGGCCTGCATAGTTGAGTCTTCCTTTGATCTCTGGAACTGGCACTTAGAGTTCCACTTATTCCTTGAAAAACATCTAGAGTTAGTTAGAAAGAGTTGCCTATTTTCCAGTGGGTCAGATCCCGGTTCTGGGGCAGGATGGTTTAGGTCTGGGTAGCGCTCCGACCACGCAGGCAGCAACTCCAGGAAGAGAGGAGGCCCCAGCCAGAGCAGGTGCAAACCCAGGCGCCCGCCCAGAGCAGCCCCCTCTGTCTGCTGCAGCCACACCCCCTCTTCCTGAGGTTTCAAGGCTGGACCAAGTGCAGCCCTTGCCCAGATGATGCACTTCAGGCTCACTCACTCAAGATGGTAATAGCCCCTTTCCTTCTTAGGCCACCACAGACAAGGAGAGAATCCTTTTCCATGTAAATATATTAAATATTTAATGTAACAGACAACACAGACATTTATACATACATGTATGTATGGTCAAGCCATTCAAGAATGGCTGCTCTCTTGCTCTCTGTACATCCCCTGCTCAACCAGTCCCTGCTTTGCTCACATGACTATCCAATCCTCTTAATTACATAGGGCTTAATTAGTCCCTAGTAATTGATGAGCCCACCTGACATCAATTCCCCCTATAAATGGTAGCCGCCTTCTTCCCTGAGTAGTGGAGATTGCTGCCATGTCCTGCCCACTCTCTGCTGCACACAGTGGGGTGTTGCTCCAGGACCCTTTGTGTAAGATCCCATGTCCAATAAACCATTGGTGCCTCTGTCCCTGTTTCCAAGCTCTTTCTTTGGTCTCGAGGCTGGGCAACTACAAGGCTCACAAGCCTGTGGGGTGCAGCCCAACAGTGTATTTTATATGTTTACAAATACTTGCACCATAAAGTGATTTAAGAAGACATTTTTTGAATTGCTTACTCACAGGTATCTCTTGGAAGTCCTTTGCTGTTCATGTTACTGCTGTCCAGAAATAGTATAATCTGTTATTTCAAACTTTGCTGCTACGTGGTAGGAAATGATCTCCTCGGTAGAAATGATCCATTTTAAGAGGAAACATTTACTAAAATAAAATTGAAAATAAACAAAACCAGATGTGATAACATTTATAGATTGGGGATTTATAAAATAAAATTTAAAACACGTTTGTGGTAGAAAACTTGAAAAATACTTTTTAAGACTCTGCAATCCCGTCACCTAGCGCGGTGCCATTGAATACGGCAGCACTAGCCACGTGTTGCCATGAGCACTTGAAATGTGAACATCTGAACTGAGATGTGCTATAGGTGTAATATACACCCTGTATTTTGAAGATTCAGTATCAAAAAAAAGAGTATAAAGTCTATCATTAAACACTTAGGTGCTTGACATATTTTGGACACATTAAACAAAATATATTATTAAAATTAATTTCACCTGTTTTTAATGCAACTACTAAAAACCTTAAAATGACATACGTGACTCATGTTACATTTCTATTAGACAGCTAGGTCTAGAGAAAACACTGCTAATATTTTGGTGTATTTCATCCATTGTGTGTGTTTCTACAGTTGAGGAGTCCAGCTCCTGCTTACAAACCCGTGTGATTTTCCAGGCCTGACCCCAGGTAAGGCTCTCCCTGGCAGCCATACCGGGAAAGCTGCTCTCCATGCACTGGCCTCGGTGCACAGCCTGGGCAAAACAGTCTCTGGAGAGAGTTGCAGCCTAGTCTCAGGCTCCTTGACCAGTCAAGCCCTTCACATATTTACATCCCTATCCCTGGTGTCTTCATGCCTAGGTCTGTTTATCTGAGGGCTTGGGCAGAGGTCTTCCAGGTACCTCTGCTGAGACCTCTGTATAAAGGGAGGTGGGAGGACCTTGCCGTTTCTCCCCACTGGGACTCAGTACCCAGCACTTCTCCATTCTCGGTCCTCCCCCCAACCCGCTCCCAGGTCTGTCAAGCTGCCAGAGCCTCTTATTCAGAACCCCTTCAACACTGAGGTCACCCCACAGCAGCGCTGATCCACCTGGCCCTACACCAAGGTGTCGTTTCACGGAGAAAATGAAACAGGAGGGAATCAGCGCCTTCTCGGGTTTAGCCTCCTGCTTATACTATCACAGCAAGTGATTAAAGGCTTCACTGTTACTTTCATTTTGGCTCATTGTAGCTTCAGTCAGCTATTCTGACACCTGACTGCTCTTTCTTCCAGCTCAACTGAGCTCCTGACTATTTCTTTTTTAAACAAAATGGGGATCTTACTGAAATACGATTTTCTATCTGTATCAGTCAGGGTTCTAACAGGGGACAAACAGCACTGTCAAATTAGGATAATTCAAGGAGGTTTTACTTATAAACGGGCTAACTAATAACAAAGATAAGGTTGGAGTATGGGACAACCACAAAGGACAGTTTAGAAACCCAGGGCTAACAGAGCAGAGCTGCTACTCTCCCTAAGTCTGACGGGATAAGGGGAGAGAGAGGTTCCCAGAACCACAAAAGAGAGCTGTGCAGAGTTGGGATGCATTGAAAGGAAGGAAACAGCCAGACTAAGGCCATGTCATAGGATGGAGTTGGGGGAATAAATACCTGACACCCCTCCCTTCCTTCCCTCTAACGCTGAGGTTCTCCATCAGCTGAAACCAATCAAAAGCCAGAGGACAGGGAACCCCTACGGCTGTGGTCCTCTGTCCGTGCAGAAAGCAGGGTGGAGAAGGGGGAAAGTGAATCTAGAAGCAAATTACTACCCGGCACCTTCCTCGTGTAGCGTTGCCCTAAGTCATAGCCTATTAACCTGATTTCCTTCCTAATGTAACCAGTGGCTAGTCCTAGTGCCTACACTGACTGCGTGGGCACAGTTTACAGGACACCCAACCCAAATACCTCAATCCCATTTGGGTTTCTAGCCTGGGGTAGATTCAGAGGATACTGTTTGAAGCTGTGTGTGTGTGTGTGTGCGCGCACACACGCACGCACATGCAAACATGCATGTGTTATAATCTCAGTCCCTCCCAGAACATGCTTCCTTCAATATTAGCTCTGGGTAGGACCCTACCGCTCCAGGGCCTACATGCCTATGGCTTTGCAGAGGTGACCCACTTCTGGTGGGCTGGTTCCCACCCACCCTAGAGTCTTCTTTCCTAACCTTCTCCCACACCTCTCACCCACCCACCCCACTCCACTACTGTTTCTCCTTGCTGGGCAACCACAAGTGACTGATGCCCTCCTAGACACCAGTAATCCACTAAGAGGGGGGTCTGGGAATGGTGAATCTCCCTGGGACAGCATGCAGAATGCCCCACTCTCTAACTGAATCTCCAATTGTCTAGTCCAAGTGTGCTGGGAAATTAGATAAAGAAACTACCAAGGCTAAACAATCCTGGAGCTGAGGTCCTGGGAAGGTGGCAGGGAGAGGACTGCACGTGAGAAGACAGGGTTGACCTTCCTCTTTTATCATCTGTCTACAAAGCCAAGGGATGCTGAGTTGGGGCTGAGACCTGCCAGATGCCAGGCAAGGGGTTCCAGTGTCAGTGGGGAATCTGTGCTCAGGGACAAGGAAGCTCCTATTTGAAAAGTAAGCTGGAGCCCAAGAGAGGACTGTAGAAAACACTGAGAGAAGATAATGCCACGGTGGGGATGTGGCGAGCAGAAGGGACTCGTTTTATAGAACAGGAAACAATCTGTTGCAGGGATTATTATACCTCAGGAGGAAGAAGAGACAATTTAAGTTTTGGGGGAGAAGGCGATTTGAATGTAATCTGATGAGGGTGCCATCCAAAGGAGCATTCATTCTGTGCTTGTCAAGGCCCTGAAAATGCAGGAGGACCCACAGCCACCAGGGCAAGCCCAAAGGGCAAAGAAGCCTTTCTGGCTGGGAGGGAGGTGAGCCAGCAGCAGTGATGTCCTCCCAGCACAAAGGAGGCACATTGATGCCAGCCTGGTCGTCAGTGTCTGCCCAGTCATCTGACGTCCCTATCAGATGCAGCTTTACATGCCTTCATTCATCCCCTCGTTCATTCACTGGTCCAACAAACATTTAATGGAGCTCTGTGCTGGGTGAAGTGCCAGGCACAGAGAGGCATGAAAGGAAAACAAGCCAGTGTTTCCACCACCAGGGAGCTAAGAGTGTTGTGGAGGAGACACATTTCCAAGTTTCCAATGCAGTGAGGGGCTGTGATGGGAAGGAAGGAAGTTTTAAGGATGAGGGAGGAGTGAGGAGGACTTCACTTAGAAGTGGAGGGCTGTGGGAAGGAGGAGGAGAATAAGAGTTTGTCAGGCAGGTTAGGGTTAACAAGTATTTCTTGACCTCCTCCCAATAAAAATGGAATGCAGGGGCTTCCCTGGTGGCGCAGTGGTTGAGAGTCCGCCTGCCGATGCAGGGGGTCCGGGAAGATCCCACATGCCCCGGAGCGGCTGGGCCCGTGAGCCATGGCCGCTGAGCCTGCATGTCCGGAGCCTGTGCTCCGCAACGGGAGAGGCCACAACAGTGACAGGCCTGTGTACTGCAAAAAAAAAAAAAAAATGGAATGCAAAAAAAGCAAACACAAAACCAAGACAAAACAGTGGAATGCATAATTCATAAGGATGTACTAATCTTTCTTGTGAATCCTGTGACAGAGTTTTTCTCTTGGATTTAAGGTGGCATCTGCACGTTAGGTTTTCCATGGATAAGGATGAGGGACCCTGGAATCCCTTTGTGTTCCCAAGTCCTCCAGGGGCTGGCCCTTGGTCAGCTGCTGAAGAGTATACAGATCTGAGGAACTGCTAATGGTGGAAAGCTGTGAAAAGATCCCTGGGTAAGGATTCCAGGTTTCCAAGTCAGAGAGATTGAGAACTGCCAACGGCAGCTCACGGCCTTTAAGATGCTCCTGGGTGAGAACCTGACAGGCTGATCCCACTGAGCCCCCAGGCTTGAGGGACCTCGGATAGAAGGCTTTTTCTTCTGTCCCCCTTGTCCAGCCTCACCCTCCAGTTTACACTCAGCTTTGTCTCCTGCACTTGGGAAGTCTGCTCCCCTTAGAATGGGGCTCAGCGCATATCCCATTCCCAACTCCTCCATCCTGTCGTAGATTTCTGGCACAATACCTTCTCCTACAGCAGACCTAACAGGGCTCCAGTTTCCGCTTCTGCTAAACCCAGGGGAGTCTGGACACAGTAGAAACGATAGCCTCTAAAAAGCACTCACTTTTTCTAACTTACCTTACTGTTGTCTTCCCCACAGGACTGGACCCTCTGGCCTTCCCATTGTCAATCACTACTGGCCCTTTGAGAGCCTGCCATCTTGGAACCCACTCTCCCAGCCACAGGCTTAAGGTAACCAATAACCTCCAGCAGAAAGAACATAAAATTACAACATGCACATAGATCCTGTCTCGATGAGAGTGAGCAGAAATGACGCCCAGTCTCCCATCTCCAAGCAGCCCAAACTGAGTGTGTACCACACACAGGCTGATAGCCTGAGAGCTGCAGACAAACCGAGAACTTGAAAGAGGCTCTTTAAGAAGCCAACGCAACGGCAAGGAGAAGTCTGATGAGTCCACCAAGGGCTCATCTACGTATCACCAAACAACTGTCTATGTCTTGTTCTCCTCTGTGTTCCCTGGATGGTTCCTGTTTTCCACACGCAAGACACTCAGTACTTATTTGTTGGATGAACGAATGAATACGTGAAGACTTAGATGGATTTGTCTCAAACTGTCTGAGGTTTTGACTACTCTGATGAGCTATTTTGGGGTCATAAAGACCCAGGCATTGAATATTTCAGAACATATGAAAACATCTGGAACTCACATATTTCCTTGTCATTTGCACCCTAGGAAACTATGCATTACTGGGCAGAAGCAAGAAAAAAATCTCTGGTGCTTGTTGATAATCATGAGGGAAAGAAGAAATTGTGGTGTGTATGTCTGTGTGTGTGTGTAGCTGAGGATAGGGAAGAAGAGAAATCATTCAAAAATGGAATATCTGAAGTTTTAAATATTTTTCTTTATGAGGACTTCCCTGATCAGCTCCCTTAAAGAGGACCCCATCCCTTGCCGTTCACATCATCCATCAATCAGTCTTCAGGGCTCTGCTCTGAGGTTGTA